AACTATTTTTTATATCATGTAGCTTCTATAGTACATTAGAGAATTATGATTTTTTACCTGTGATAGTACTCATATAATGCTGATGATCGATCAACTTCAAGGGGTCTGTACCTTGTTTAAAAACAAAACAGTTAAAGCTTTAAAAAAAATTGTTCATAACTAGTAAGAGATTTTTTAAAAGCTTTAACTGTTTTGTTTTTAAACAAGGTACAGATCCCTCGAAGTTGATCGATCATCAGCATTATATGAGTACCAACACAGGTAAAAAAATTATAATTCTCCAATGTACTATAGAAGCTACGTGATATAAAAAATAGTTGGGGCTTCCGGTCAGACTGCTCAACCCCATATATAGAAGCACACCAAGCTAATTATAACCCTTTCCGGCCGGATGTATCCATTTGGAAACATAGTCCCAGTGTTTTACGATACGTTGACTTATAGTGATGATATCAAGGTTTTTGATGACTTGATAATTAAGTTTACACATTTTAGCACAAACTCGTGTATTTAGAAGAATGAAAAGCCCCTTCACTGTAAAAAATTGCTGGTTCCACCGGCAACACCCAAAACTAGCTTCGAAATATAAACAGTCTTTTTCTATGCCTCTGCGGATTCAATATGAAAGGCAATATATGGTTAATTTTCCTTCATAGATCTATTGAACATTGCACCAATAATTGGTGTTATTCAATAATATTCGACGATAAGAACATGGCATGTATCCATTTGGAAACATCCGGCTGTAAGGGGACAAAAATTTACGATTTATTTTTCTCTTGAATTTGTCCAAGAAATGAACTTTGTTACATTCTTGTCAGAATGGATCTATTATTACCAAAAAAAATACCTGTCTACCTAGTAATCTCTTTTATCCTGACACTGATATAACATAATTACACGTATTTTTTCCATCTATATCGTCTTACATTCTGTTATGACGCGCAAGTGCATATGCCAAAATGTTCTCTTCTTATATATGCTCAATCATATTCATATATTTTCCCATTCACATGCACAATTGCTCTTTTCTTTCTCTTTGACTATTGATAAATTTTTCAATCTGACTGAAATACTTTATCTCTCTTGCGCTACAACGTTTATTAATTGCGATGACAAAACGAAAGAAAAGAACAATATTTTAATACATTGTTCATCTCATCATTTATCATTTTGTGTCGATAAGTGCATTGTGCACAAGTAATAAGAATTATCTATAATCTTACTTCATTTTGAATCATCGTTTTTATTGATAATGCCGAATACACGAAGTTCTAATCGTTATATTGTCATTCCTAATGGATTAAGTGAAGAAGAAATGGACACATCCGAGTCAGAAGATGAAATTAGTGCTGTTCAACATGTTTTACAAGATAAATTAAAAATCAACGAAGACAATTCATCTAGTGAAGCAAGTGATGTTGAAGAAATGGTAACCGATCCATCAACAAAAAGAAAAAAGCAATTACACTGAAAAAAAAAAGATTTTGAAGTTCCAGCAGCAGATTTTACTGGAACTTTGCCACCGCCACCAATACATGAAGAATTAGAACCTATTGATTACTTTTATTCTATGTTCGGCAAGGAATCTATTACACTTATGACAAATCAATCAAATTTATATTCTACCCAAATGAATCCAAATAAACCACTTTGTGTTTCTGAAAACGAAATGAAACGTTTTATAGGTATATTATTAATGACTGGTGTCTATTCATTTCCACAACAGTGTTATTTTTGGATGAATGCTACTCGTGTTGAATCTATAACCTCGGCTATGAGTCGAGATCGATTTTTACAAATTAAAAGAAATATTCATGTTGTTGATAATGCAAATCAATTAGATAGCAATGATCCGAATTTTGATCGTGCGTATAAAGTACGACCATTATTAAATATTGTTAAAGAAAATTTCCGAAAAATTGCAAAAGAGGAAAAATTAAGTGCAGATGAACAAATTATACCTTTCAAAGGACGAAGCATCATGAAGCAACACATGCCAAAAAAAACCACACCGTTGGGGTTATAAAATGTTTATTTTAGCTGGTA